TGCGTAAACAAACGCCCTATGGTGTTTCCAAATGGCTGAGATAATGTTTGTCCAGTTGTGAGATATGTGTGTACAAATTGCGAGATACGTTGAGTTCAGTGTCATGATGATGTATGTGTCTAGTATGCGAGATATGTGTTCGTCGCAGTATACTGTGTCCAATAGTGAATCATGTGTGTCCAATATGTGAGATATTGTCCAATAGTAATATATGCGAAGATATGCGTGATGCTGAAATGTGAGGAGATGTGTGTCCATATGGACAGATGTGTGAAGATATGAGAGATATCTGTATACTGTGTCTAATGTACAGGATATGTGCTTCGGCCCGTTATGATAGATGTGTGCCTAATGTGTGAGATATGTGTGTCTAATTTGTGAGATGTGTCCTTAAATGTGGGAGATATGTGTGTCTATGTGTGAGATAAGTGTTAAATGTGTGGGAAATGTGTCTCAAGTGTGAGATATGTGTGTCTAATGTGCATGGGCCCCCACAACCCACTTCATGCTGGACAAACATGCCCCCGAATGTTGCTACAGGCAGAGCGATCGTACACAGATTACATCACGACCATAATTAGAGAACCATTGTAAAACGCAACGACTAGCATTAAGACTAATTAACCATCGCTATGACAACGCCCCGCGCCCCCTGCGTGGTCGCTACGTGCAGGAACAATGAACATTATCGTGCAGTGAAATCGACCGAGTGTAGAAGGAGGTGGCTGCGATATGGCTTCTCCCCATTCTATCTTGCACTCGCTCTCGCGTTCTCCCCCCCCCCTCTCTCTCTCTCTGTCCGTCCCCCCTCGCGCTCTCTCTCTCTCTCTCTCTCTCTCTTCTCTCTCTCTCTCTCATCTCTCTCAATCTCTCCTCCTCTACTCTCTCTTGTCCTACTCTTCCTTCTCTCTCTCTCTGTGTCTCCTCTACAATTGCCTCTCTCGGCGCGGCATGGGCGGGTGGTGTGTTGCTGTATGTACGCGCCGCGCCGCACGAACAAACAACACCTGGGCTAATTGGCTTCATTGAAGTCTTGCGGGAGGCTGCACTGCGTTTCGGTCGGACGCTCAGTAAACCTCCCCGTGGTGCGGCATGCACGCCTGCACACCCACGCCATCGCTGTCTGGCTGCCTGTCTGCCTGCCTGCCTGTCTGTATGTCCCTCTGTAGGTCTGCCTGTCTGTCTGTGTGTATGTCTCTCTGTAGGTCTGTCTGTCTGTTTGTCTGTCTTCCCCTCTCCCCCCGAACCCTTCTATCTTCTCTCATCTGCGCGTTTGCCTCTCTCTCTCTCTCTCTCTCTCTCTTTCACACTCTAACCATCACTAGTCACTAGATCTTTCTCCCTCACTCTTCCTCTCTCTCTCTCTCTCTTCTCTTCTCCGTCTCTTCTCTCTTCGGCAACTCTCTCTCTCTCTCTCCTCCCCCGCGCTCGCTACGTGACCTTGCGATGAATGTTGTGACTGGCACCCAGGATTCGTCGGGCGGCAGAGTTGAGGAGAGGCATGGGAGAAAAGAAAGAGATGTGAGGCGGAGGCAGGGAACGGTAGACGGAGATTGGATGCATGCGAAGGAAGGCCGGGAGGGAGGGAAGGGTAGATGAGAGGAGTGGATGCAGGCGAAGGAGGCCGCAGAGAGGGAAGGAAGTAGATGGAGAGAGTGGATGCAGGCGAAGGGAGGCCGGCAGGGAGGGAAGGAGAGATGAGAGGGATGGAATGCAGGCGAAGATAAGGCTGGGAGGAGAGAAGGAGGTAGATGGAAGCAGGAGTGGCATACAAGGCTGGGAAGGTCGGGAGGGAGGGAAGAGGAGATGGGAGAGGAGTGGATGCAGGCGGAGGAAGGCCGGCAGGGAGGGAAGGAGGTAGATGGAGAGGAGTGGATGCAGGCGAAGAAAGGCTGGAGGGAGAGAAGGAGGTAGATGGAGAGGAGTGGATACAGGCTGGGGAAGGTCGGAGGGAGGGAAGGAAGTAGATGGAGAGGAGTGGATGCAGGCGAAGAAAGGCCGGGAGGAGGGAAGGAGGTAGATGGAGAGGAGTGGATGCAGGCGAAGAAAGGCTGGAAGGAAGGAATGAGGTAGATGGAGAGGAGTAGATACAGGCGAAGAAAGGCTGGGAGGGAGGAAGGAGGTAGATGGAGAGGAGTGGATACAGGGCTGGGAAGGTCGGGAGGGAGGGAAGGGAGGGAGTAGATCATATGGAGAGGAGTGGATGCAGACGGGGGAAGGCCGGAGAGGAAGATAAGGAGTGGATGGGAGAGGACGAGGGAGAAAGTGTGCGATGACGTGGTGATCTCAGGGTAAAGCTGTGGAACAGGTCTTCACGTTGGTTGACGTGTGACGAGTCGCGGAGACGTGAGGCAGTCTGTGTATCGAAGCCTTACGAGTTATATTGCTTGCCACTACGTACACACAAAACACGGCGCGAACACCAAAAAACACCGCGTATCGAGTTAATGCGACGAGAATAACCTATATTGAGCGAAACGGACAGAGAGAGAGCGAGAGAGAGCGAGAGAGATAGCGAGAAGAGAGAGAAGAGAGAGAGAGAGGAGGAGAGAGAAGAGAGAGAGAGAG